TCTGTTTAATATATTTTTTTAATTATAAATTAAATAAAAATTAATAGCCGCTGTTGCTCTGTAAAATGTAAATTTAGTTGCAAACTTAACTTAATTTTATTATTTCTAGAAATATTTATCAAAGTTGTCACTAATGAACATTAATGCTGACACTTAATCCTAAGTATTTGAAACAACGATGGTCGATGGATCAGACAATGTCTATTAAAATTTCTAAAAATAGCTCTGAATGACTCGCAGTTTAATTAAAATAGAATTGTCCAACAGTGTCATCATTGTAATTAGTTTCAATCAAAATAGAGCTCGCAACATAAAATTTATTAAGTTTGAAAATGTTCAGTTTGCGTCAAAACGAGATTCTCTGAAATTAAATTCTTTGTTGTGAAATGTCAGAGGTAGAATGACATTTATCGTCTAGAATAATCGAAAACATAAAGAATCCATGGACACAAACATTATTATTTATTTAAATATTTGTGCGACATTCAGAGGAAGCTTAGAAATTGAGGACGATTATTTAATGGATCAATTAGCGAGCTTTTGCTACAATAAACTTCAATAATCAATCTTAATTCATTAATTAATATTATCTATCCCTTCGAACATGAAATTTGCTCTAATAAGGACTTTTTCTTATCAAGTCAACTTGACTTTCCTTATCAAGTTTTGTCCCATCCTTAATCTCTTCTCAGACGTCTTTATATCTTGATATTTTGCTGATCTTCTTACAAAATATTCTTCAAGTGAAATAAAATATTTAATTATTTTACTTTGACACTTTCTGTTCATTTTTAATCTAGCTATTAGCAAATTAAAAATTGTTTGTCACATTTGTGTAATTTTCCTTACTAAGCCTAATCATTGTGTGGGCGGAAATGTCTCGAACAAAATACTTCGAAGTGTATGAAAAAAAAAGCTTAAAGCTTTCATCTGAAGTGTAATGAAATTTTCCATTAATATTCATTCTTCATTTTACACATTTACGTTAGCATTTAGAGACTACATGTCGAAAACGGAAGGAATTATACCGTCCATAAATTAAATTAAGATTTCTAGTGATTCGAAGCGTCCAACCGTTGTGAAATGTGTGGGCACAAATCTTCCACATTTTCTAACTTTTCAACCTTTCCTACTACGTCATTTTTTTATATTATATTCTCATGTTTAAATGGTTGCCAAATGGAAAACTCCAAACATTAAAATTAAAATTACGATCCTTAAGGGTCTGTGAAGAACTGAATGAAAGCAATTCACAAGGGTGAAAGGCAAAATTAGCATGCAGGCATTCGAAGACATAAAATGTTCATTAACAATAAAGAATGTTATAAGCTAATGAAAATTAAAAAAAAAAGGTTTTTGATTTTAAAAAACTCTTTAACTGGAAAGATAACTTCGTTTATCTGTTTTACGTATTCATCGTGAGCGTGACTTAATCATCATAAATTTTAATGAAATCTTTTTTTTTAATTTTTGGAAAACTTCACATTAAAAATTTCATCCTTGATTTTTGTTTCGATACGCTCTTCCGATTACAGATGGAAAAGTAAAGTTCAAAAGTTTTCGTTAGAAGATTAAAGGAGCTTATTGGATTTGTTGCGACTAAGGTATTAAGTCGCATTTGGAATTATTTTTGTTTGAATGAAATTAATTATCATCCTGGTTTCTGATATTTTGTATAACATAAATTGAGAAGCAGTTAAGCTGTACATAAACATAGTAAGATGAGAATTCTCAGTAAACATGATAAGTATCTACAATGTTCTTACTATGTAAATATTGACTCATTAGAATAACTTTTCATGAAAATGTTTCATCTCAAGACAGAAAATTTAAATTGTTATTTCCATGAAAGCTCAATTATTCAAATAGATGCAACGCAAACTTACGTGGAAATCTCATCAAATTTCATTGAAGGTTTCCTTCTTGTAAAGTTCTTCTCTTTCCTTTATGAAGGAAGCTTTCCTTAATGAGATTCAGAATTAAATTTCTCCTATTATGTAAATTTACTTTTATCTACTGTAAAACTTAAAAGAATTAAAAAAAAGTTTTTCTTTAATTATTTAATTGTTT